AGCTAAGCACAAAAAAAAAAAAAAAAACCTGAATGAATCGATGTCATTCAGGTAAATGCTTGCTTATAACAAAGTAATTCTTTGCTATAACCAAACTGTGTAAAAAAAAAAAAAAAATAAATAAAAATACTGATCACTTCCCCAAAGTTGTACAATGTTACTATGGTAACATTGTACTACTTTGGTCATAGTAAAATATGAAAAAATTAAAAAAAATGTAATTAAAAATAATAAAAAAAAATATATTTTTTTTTTCATACTGTCACCAGTCAGTGTCCCTGTTCACCGCCATGCCAGTTTATATGATGACGCTGTACTGCACTGGTGACAGTATGTAAAAAAAAAAATAGTGAAAATAATTTTTTTTATTTTTTCATTTTCCGAAAAATTATGACAAAAAAATAAAACTTCAAAAAACTCGCCATGCCTCTTATGAAGTACATCAGACTGTCTACTCTGCAAAAAGGGGTCATTTGGGGGATATCTGTACTGTTCTGACATTCTTGGACCTCAAGAAATTAGATTGGTTGTCAGTACTTCAGGATTGATCAATTTTCAGATCTATACCATAGTTTGTGAACTCTATAACTTTCCTACAGACTAATAAATACATCCTAATTTGGGTTATTTTCACCAAAGACATGTAGCAGAATACATCTCGGCCTAAATTTATGAAGAACAATTATTTATTTGTAAACTTTTAAAACAGAAACAAAGAAAAACGTGTTTGTTTTTCAAACTTTTTGGTCTTTTTTTGTTAATTTAGCAAAAAATAAAAACCCCAGCGGTGATTAAATACCACCAAAAGAAAGCTCTAGTTGTGTGAAGAAAATTATAAAATTTTAGTTTGTGTACAATGTTGTATGACCGCGCAATTGTCATTCAAAGTTTGAGAGCGCTGAAACGTGAAAAATGGCCTGGGCAGGAAGGGGGGAAAAGTGCCCGGTATGGAAATGGTTAAAATAATCCCCGGCAATCCTTCCATATAACAGGCCGTGTCAAGGCACCTCCTGTTATAGGGTGATAACCAGGGCTTTGTTTTCCCTCATGGAATAGGTGCAGAAACTCAATCCTGTCCCTCTCCAAAACAACCCCCCCCCCCACATGTACACCGCCAAGCGGCATCAAATAGGAGGTGTGGTTAAATTTCACTAAGAGTGCGAGGGTCTTAAAGAGGGATTAAATATCAGGAGTACATTACAGCCAGAGTGCAGAATTCAGGGGTGCGTTCCACACAGAGTGTATGGGTGTGCACTGTGTTGAGAGTCTGGGGGTGCGTTCCACACAGAGTGCAGGGGTGAACACTGTGTTGAGAGTTCAGGGGTGCCCCACACATATAGTGCAGAGTTCAGGGAGTGCAGATTTTAGGGGTGCAATAGGTACAGATTGCAGAGTTCTGGGGTTGCGCTAAACACAGAGTGCAGAGTTCAGGGATGTGCTAAGCACAGAGTGTAGACTTCAGGGGTGCACTAGGTACAGATTGCAGAGTTCCGGGGTTGCACTACACACAGAGTGCAGAGTTCAGGGATGTGCTAAGCACGCAGTGTAGATTTCAGGGGTGCACTAGTGTCAGGGCTCCGGGGTATGACCAGAGGTTTGTGGACCAACACAGGGAAACACAGACTTCAGGTATAGCGTGTAAATAAGATAATTTATTAAGGACAACACAAACATAAACGCAGTGCAACAAACCAAACCAAAAAAACTAACACAAATACATACAACAAGGTGAAACAAACCCAAACCTAAACTGATATATATATATATATATATATATATATATATATGTGTGTATATATATATATGTGTGTATATATGTATATATATATGTATATATATATATATATATGGAGCACAACGTAGTCAGGTGGGCCGGGTCGGTAGCTAACGGGCAAACGGTAGCAGGAGCGAGCGGAAGAGTGGTCAGGAATAGCCAAAGTCAGGACAGGCGGAGTTCGTTCAGATTCAGGATCAAAGCAGGAAGCAGACAGGATGCAGGTACAGGGGCTCATGGGAAACATACACCAATGCACTTATCACAGGCCTGGTCCTGCTTAAATACACCTCCTGCAATCAGCCTCAGGTGATGGCCTGATTGCAGGAGTGAGATTCTGGCTGCTGAGAGCACCCGCTGGCCAGCCTTGGTACTGCAGCCCACAAGGCAGGTGAGTCTCACCACCATTGGCAAGTCCATTCCTGACAATTAGGTACAGATTGCAGAGTTCCGAGGTTGCGCTAAACACAGAGTGCAGAGTTCAGGGATGTGCTAAGCACAGAGTGTAGACTTCAGGGGTGCACTAGGTACAGATTGCAGAGTTCCAGGGCTGAGCTCCACACGCAGTGCAGAGTTCAGGAGTGCCCCACACACAGAGGTAGAATTACTACAGCTGGTTCACTCAGAATCTCTTGCACCTGTGCATGGTATACAATCTACTTTCTAACCTCAGCTTGTTCAATTGAGCTTTAGCAATAAAACCTGGAAACTTATTGGCTACCATGCAGAAGTGCACAAGATTCTGAGTGAAGCAGCTTTAATAAATAACCTCCACAGAGTACAGATATCAGGGGTGCACTAGGTACTGAGTGCAGAGTTCAGGGCTGCAGTACACACAGAGTGCAGAGTTCAGGGCTGCAGTACACACAGAGTGCAGAGTTCAGGGCTGCAGTACACACAGAGTGCAGAGTTCAGGGCTGCAGTACACACAGAGTGCAGAGTTCAGGGCTGCAGTACACACAGAGTGCAGAGTTCAGGGCTGCAGTACACACAGAGTGCAGAGTTCAGGCACGTACTAAACAGAGTGCAGAGTTCAGGGGAGTGCTAAGCACAGAGTGCAGAATTCAGGGGTGCACTAGGTACTGAGTGCAAAGTTCAGGGCTGCGGTACACACAGTGCAGAGTTCAGGGCTGCAGTACACACAGAGTGCAGAGTTCAGGGCTGTAGTACACACACAGTGCAGAGTTCAGGGCTGCAGTACACACAGTGCAGAGTTCAGGGCTGCAGTACACACAGTGCAGAGTTCAGGGCTGCGGTACACACAGTGCAGAGTTCAGGGCTGCGGTACACACAGTGTGCAGAGTTCAGGGCTGCGGTACACACAGTGTGCAGAGTTCAGGGCTGCGGTACACACAGTGTGCAGAGTTCAGGGCTGCGGTACACACAGAGTGCAGAGTTCAGGGCTGCAGTACACACAGAGTGCAGAGTTCAGGCACGTACTAAACAGAGTGCAGAGTTCAGGGGAGTGCTAAGCGCAGAGTTCAGGGGAGTGCTAAGCACAGAGTGCAGATTTCAGGGGTGCACTAGGTACTGAGTGCAAAGTTCAGGGCTGTGGTACACACACAGTACAGAGTTCAGGGGAGTGCAGAATGCGGGTGCACTAGGTGCAGAGTTCTGGGGTTGCTCTACACACAGTGCAGAGTTCAGCCTTCTTCCGCAGCTGCTTACCTCTGCATCTCCCATCGACATCTCACTTTCACCCGTCTTCAGCTCTGACCTATGCATGCAACCCCCCCTCCACTGCTCTTCTCTCCCCTCCTAAAAGCTCCACCATCTTTCTCACTTTTGCTGCAGTATTAAGCTGAAGCACCCAGCCAGCTCTACTACCTCCCTGCACACTGTAGGCGACTCCTCCTCTCTCACTTGCAGGGAGATCTTCCAGTGGGGGCATCGGCATCCGGGCACCAGGGGGGGAAAAAAAAGGAGATCACAGAGGGTGCAGCCTGCCACATGATCCTTCCTGCCCAGGACTGCACTGTACCCCGTGCACCTGCATGCTTGGCCAGTTGTGCTCTTGCGTTGTCACCCTGCTTCTGATGGAAACCACAAGTGGCCGCTTTGCCACGTATTGCACAGGCATGGTCCACTTTTGTCACCATCGGGGAACTCTGAAAAATGCCATGTGGCTATAACAGTTTTATTTTCTCCTAACAAAAGTTTGTTACAATAGTAATTCACTGATTTTTTTTATATTTTTTTTTTATTATAGGTATACAATGTTTGTTTTAAGAAAAAGGAAAAACAAATACAAAGGATTTCCAGAGCACCATGGGTTAGCTATAGAGACAGCACAGCCGTTCTTGAATGTTTTGAGCCTTGCTCTGTCTAAATGAAACCCTTTAATGAAGCCACTGGATAAAAGGTGAGTGAGTGCTGTGACAAAGGAGCTAAGGTAAGAGAGGAAAACATGAAATGTACAAAGTCCTTATTAACCCCAAAAATGTGTTGATAAGCCCTAAAAAAACCCCCAAACTGTAGCCCTATTTTTGTAGCTGTAAACGCTGTACACCCTATTTCTTGGCCTTAACACTAACCTAAACCTTAAGCCCGGGTTCACATATATGCGGCGCGGTATATCGCATATGATTCGCACAGGAACCGCACTGCATTCCTGTGCAAATCACGTGCGGTTTGTGTGCTGTGCGATTGGAGCCATATATTATGTATGGCTCTATTCACACCTCACCCGCACCAAAAACGTACAGGACCTTTTTTGGGGCCTCATTAGAATCAGATCGCATGGGTATTCACACCTATGTGATCCGATTCTGCACATCGCACCACGTTTTGCGGACCGCTTTCGGGGTGTCGTTAACATACACGCGCGCAGCGGTTCGTATGAACGGGGTGCGATTCTGATGCAGTGCAGAATTTGCACTGAAAACGCTGCAAATTTTGTACCGCATCAGTGTGAACCAGGGGTTGTGCAGACAAAATGTTAAAAACCAACAGGAAACTGATGGGGGTCATTGTGACCAGAGATGCCCGTTTTACTCATCGGTGCCCCATTTTTTTTGTTTTTTGCATGCCTCTCCTTAATTTAAATACACCCCCACCCACTTATACTCTCTCCTGTGTCACAAAGATTCCAGGTATGGGGGAGCATGTGACTTCCTCCTCTTCCTCCCAGAATGCACTGTTCAGGTATGGGCAGCCAATTGTCAGGTCCATTTTTGAGGTAGGGGGGGGTGTCAGCACATCTAAGCTCTCAGCCACTGAGCTTACATTTTTTGGACTCCCAGCTACAATAGAAGGAAGGTGCACTGCCCATTGAGATCCTTTACACCACAGGTGACAAACTGGCACCCCTCCAGCTGTTGCCAAACTACAAGTCCCATGAGGAATTGCAAGATTGACAGTTACAAGCAGGGGCGGACTGACAACTCATGGGGCCCCCGGGCAATAGGGGATCATGGGGCCCCTGTGTCCTTGCCCAAACTCAAAAAAGCCTATGAAAAAGGTACCAGGGGCATCTCATGGGGGCCCCCTACTGACCCCGGGCCCTCGGACAGTGCCCGAGTTTCCAAATGGTCAGTCCGCCCCTTGGTTTCAAGCATCTAACAATTAATATCCCTTCTCGTGTATGCTCATCCAGCTCCAGTGGCTTCTGTAAGAATCCACTATCCCGATACCAAAAACATACAGCACCAAACCCCTGGACCTGAAAATGACCACTTTGTGGGGGGTCACATTATTTTAAATAACTCAAGATGGGGTTGTAATGGTGCTGAAAAGTTCCAGGTACTGTTGCCAGTGAGGTAAAGGGGGAATGTAACATTATTATTACTAATATACAGGAGGATAACAGCGCTTTACAATATAAAGGGAGACAATACAGTAACAATACAGTTCAATATGAGAGGGTTAGGAGGGCCTGATCCTGGGAGCTTACAATCTAATAGCAGATGTTCCCTGTTGCAGAACATTGTTACATAGGGGTCTAGTGATAAAAAAAGATTGCTGTGCGAATGTCAGGGCAATCGGAGGTTTTCCGTTCTCTCAAACAATAAAAAAAGCAATTTCCAGCTCAACTTACCAGGCAGCTTGCAAGAAACCGAATTGACTTGTTTAACAGTTTATGGTAAAAACAGGGGTTTAGTTTGCACACATTTGCAAATAAATGTATAAGCTGCAGAGCCTCTTCATGGCACCCCAATATTCTGCAGTCCTAACTCTATAAATTGTGAGAGCCTTCATAGTAGAAGCACATATACAGGCGTACCTCGGTTTACGAATTAGTTTTGCGAAAAATTTGTAAACCGAAACGCGGTTTTCCATAGGAATGCATTGAAAACCAATTAATCCGTTCCGGAAGTCAGAAAAAAGTAAAAAACAAAAGTCTTTTATCTGTTCAAAACTCTTTATAAAGCGCACATTAACCACTTGCCGCCCTGCCACTGTAGAAATACGGCGGCAGGGCTGCACGGGCAGGCAACACCACGTTCTAAAACGTGTTTTGTAAACAGGTAGGGGGCGCGCGCGAGAGCTGCGTCTCCGCCCTACCTGTCCCACCGATCACAGCCGCGGATGTCAGTGGCCGGGTCTCAGCTGGTCCTTACCGGCTATCTCCTGGCGATCGGCGGCAATCAGTGACAGAGAGCACAGCTGCAGTAGCTGTGCTTTCTGTCACTTCCCTGACAGCTCCAGGACAAGCTGATCGGGACAGGATCTCCTTATCAGCCGTGTCCCCTACAGTACACCCCCCCCCCCCCCGCCCCCTAGTAAAACACTCCCCTCACACAGATAACCCTTCCCTGAAAAATAAACTTAACCCCTTCCTCCCCAGTGCCATTAGTACTGTGTCAGTGTTTTTTTTTTTTTTGCACTGATCACTGTATTGGTGTCACTGGGGATGTCAGTGACCCCAAGTCAGTACCCCCCCAGTGTCAGAATGTCCACCACAGTCCCGCCATAAGTCCCTGATCGCCGCCATAAGTCCCTGATCGCCGCCATAAGTCGCTGATCGCCGCCATTATTAGTATAAAAAAAACTAAAAATCCCAGTATCTTTCCCGCCATTTGTAAACGCTATAACTTTCACGTAAACCAATTAATTTACACGTATTGGTTTTTTTTCTAGCAAAGACATGTCGCAGAATGCATTTTGGCAGAAATTTATGACTAAATTTGATTTTTAAATTTTTTTTTTACTGGACATGTTTTATAGCAAAAAGTCCAAAATATTGTTTTTTTTCCTCAAAATTGTCAGCCTTTTTTTTTATAGCCCAAAAAATAAAAACCACACAGGCGATCAAATACCACCGAAAGAAAGCTCAATTTGTGGGGAAAAAAAGGATGTAAATTTCATTTATGTACCGTATTGCATGACCGCACAATTGTCCGTTAAACTAGCGCAGCGCTGTATAGCAAAAAAAATGGCGTAAATTGCAGTATTTATACCATAGTTTGTAGACGCTATAACTTCCACACAAAGCAATCAATAAACACTTATTGGGATTTTTTTTACCAAAAACATGGAGCAGAATACATTTTGACCTAAATTTATAACCAACTTTGAGTTTACTATATATTTTTTATAGCTGAAAGTAAAAAATATTGTTTTTCTTCAAAAATTTTGGCCTTTTTTTGTTTATAGCGTGAAAAATAAAAAGCACACAGGTGATCAAATACCACAGAAAGAAAGCTCTATTTGTGTGAAAAAAAGGACGTAAATTTAGTTTGGGTGCAGCATTGCATGACCGCGCAATTATCAGTTGAATTAGTGCAGCGCCGAGTAGCAAAAAGAGGCGTGGTCATTAAGGGGGGTAAATCCTCTGGAGGTCAAGTGGTTAAAGGTATAAATACTGTACAGGGACATGATTAAAAATGAATTCGTAAGTGCACTGAAAACCAATTAATCCGTTCCGGAGGTCAGAAAAAAGTAAAAAAAAAAAGTTTTATCTGTTCAAAACTCTTTATCAAGTGCACTTTAAAGGCATAAAAGGACAAGTTTAAAAAAAAAAATGTGTAGATGCATTGAAAACCAATTAATCTGTTCTGGAGGTCAGAAAAAGTAAAAGTCTTCTCTGTTTAAAACTCTTTATAAAGTGCACTTTAAAGACATAGTACTATATGGGGACATCTTTAAAAAACAATTCGTAAATGCACTGAAAACCAATCAATCCGTTCGTATTGCGAAAAAAATAGTAAACCGAGGAGTTGTTTTCAATGGATTTTCATTTGTAAGCCGAAAATGACGTTAACCGAGGCGTTTTGTAAACCAAGGTACGCCTGTATAATAATGGATAGATTGAGGGCAGGTTTTGTGTTCTCAGGCTGAAGCTCTAGTCTGGGGAAAGATCCTGATTCAGTTAAGTAACCATTACTGGCATGTGATCCAGCCGACATTGATTTGGAAGAATAATTTGCCCGCACTTCCTGTCTGCAGCCACTAAAGTAGAATATTGTACCCTGACTACAATCCTTCCACCCCCCACTGCCGCCCCCCCCACTGCCCATTGTATTACATTACATAGTTACATAGTTAGTCTGGCTGAAAAAAAGACAAAAGTCCATCCAGTTCAACCACAAAAAAAAAAAAGTTATAATCCCACACCCACAGCTGATCCAGAGGAAGGCAAATTATACCATTACAGGATCAACTGAAAGATAATAATACTTACAATACTCTGCCTATCTATCTATTAGTTGTCTATCTATCTATTAGTTGTCTATTTATTAGTTATCTATCCATCCATTATCTATCTATCCTTCCCATATCTATCTATCTATCCTTCCCATATCTATCTATCTATCTATCTATCTATCTATCTATCTATCTATCTATCTATCTATCTATCCTTCCCATATCTATCTATCTATCTATCTATCTATCCTTCCCATATCTATCTATCTATCTATCTATCTATCTATCTATCTATCTATCTATCTATCTATCTATCTATCTATCTATCCTTCCCATATATATCTATCTATCTATCTATCTATCTATCTATCTATCCCATATCTATCTATCTATCTATCTATCTATCTATCTATTATTTATCTATCCATCCATCCATCCATCCATCCATCCATCCACATCTATCTATAAGTTATCTATCCAACCATTATTTATGTACCTATTAGTTGTCTATCTATTAGTTATCTATCCATTATCTATCTACCTATTAGTTGTCTATCTATCTATTAGTTATCTATCCATCTATTATCTACCTATTAGTTGTCTATCTATTAGTTATCTATCCAACCATTATCTATCTATTAGTTATCTATCCATCCATTATCTATCAGTTATCTATCCATTATCTACCTATTAGTTGTCTATCTATCTATTAGTTATCTATCCATCCATTATCTATCTATTAGTTAGCTATCCATCCATTATCTACCTATTAGTTGTCTATCTATCTATTAGTTATCTATCCATCCATTATCTATCTATTAGTTATCCATCCATTATCTACCTATTAGTTGTCTATCTATCTATTAGTTATCTATCCATCCATTATCTATCTATTAGTTATCTATCCATCCATTATCTATCTATTAGTTAGCTATCCATCCATTATCTACCTATTAGTTGTCTATCTATCTATTAGTTACCTATCCATCCATTATCTATCCATCCATTATCTATGTATTAGTTTATCTATCAGTCTCTCTCTCTCTCTCTCTCTATATATCTATCCATCCATTATCTATCTACCTATTAGTTGTCTATCTATCTATATATCTATCTATCTATCTATCTATCTATCTATCTATCTGCCTATCTATCTATCTATCGTCAGTTTTGGGTGGACCGACCCTTTCACACGCTTGCCATCTTCTCTGGATAAAATTAGCCGTTTGGCAATTTATTTGACTTGTCAGAAGCTTGAGGACTTTCCTTCCCATTGATTTCGGTGAGAGGCGAGGAGAAAGTGCCTTCTAATTGGTTGCACAATGATTTAATCCAGTTGTATTGCAGCACCTGTCACAGCACTAACGCGACGTCTTGGTTCACTCGCAGTTCACATCAACACAAGGAAACCACCGTGACAAGCGGGAATTGTTCTGCCGAAACCCAAACTCTGAGAGACAATTAAATCTGAGATGGTGACATCGGGGAAGTTTGTTTAGAACGAAATCTGCGACTTTGTTAGAGGAAAATGTTACATTTGAACTCCAGGAAGGAAGAAGGAAACAATTTATGCATCGTTGAATGTATTTTATAGATGCTAGCAGCATAAGTACACCTTTTTTTTTTTTATCTCTGGATAATTTGAATAAGGGCTCATGCACACAGTGGCAGCAAGATACTATGTAAAATCTTGTCCGTACATTGGGGGTACATTGGATATAAAAAAAGTCTACACACCCCTGTTAAAATGTCAGGTTTTTGTGATGTAAGAAAAAGAGACAAAGATAAATCATTTCAGAACTTTTTCCACCTTTAAAGTGACCTATAAACTGTACAACTCAGTTGAACAACAAACTGAAATCTTTTAGGTGGAGGGAAGTAAAAATAAAAAAACTAAAATAATCTGGTTGCGTAAGTGTGCACACCCTTACACTAATCCTTTGTTGAAGCCCTTTTTGATGTGATTCCACCACTCA